GGACCTTTGAAATCCATAGTATCCCAATCCAAATCTTTGATTTAGCAACCATTTGTCAAGTATTTCTAAGTTCTGTGCCACCATAGTGCTTGGGTGCTAGGAACATAGAGATAAAATGTTGCCAACGCGCATCCTGATAGATTCTCAGGATCTGTCAGGTGGATCTCTATGGACATAGGTGATGCACTGTGAATAACTTCCCTACACTGTACTTACTGTACTATGCTGTCCCTTTGTTGGTCAGATGGCCAAAGGACTAGAAAAGCAGAAAAAGTGCTAGGACTAGATGCTATATTTCATCCCCTCATAGCCACCAAACCTGATTAGTATTAACAAATATCTCCCTTTGTCCTAATACTTGTGTAATAGCTTGTTGTCCAAGATCAAGACATTGAATCAAAAATCACTTCCTTTATTCAGTAACACCCCAAATATTGCAGTACTGGTACAACGGACATAACAAGTAAGCAAGAAAAGGATTTGGGGCTTTATCTTTGAGAGGAAAAATAATAACACCCGGGATGATTTATTTATTTCATTCATGTAATCACAAATGCCCAGTGAATGCTGATTTCACATTGAGTCCGTTGGCAGAATGCATCAGACATTAAATGCGCGAACATTTCTTTAGAGCTGCTTAGCTGAAGTTTATCGCAATCATTCAGCCATTGCCTAGCAACTTGTGAAGCCTATCAAAGAGCTCTTTGTCCTCTGTCCTGGCAAAAACAGTCCCTTGCAGATCTCCTTATCAGCATTAGAACATTTATCAGGAAAAAAATGCTTCCACTGAACCAGAGATTGCCAGAAATTTAGAGCCCATTTGCCCCTTCTTCCAAATATTTTAGGAATTTATTTCCTGAAGTAACTCACTTTAAAGCTTTTATCTGTTCTTTGGTAGGTAAACATTTCAATGAAATTTCCTTAAGATGTTTCATAATTTTTCTATCACTCTATAATCTGGGATAACATTCAAAAACAGACCTGAGCTCCCCAAAGTCTGTCTTCTCAGAATTAAACAAGGTAGCCATTTCTACTCACTTACCTGGAAAGGGTCACCATCTTAGGTACACATACCACAAGTGGGTTAGGCTTCCTGGTTTGAATGAATACTTATTCAGGGAAGCAAAGAATGTTGGTATTGCTCCATCCAGTTGGAAGGTGGTCCTGAATATCATGTAGAGAAGGAGAGCTGTGCTTATTGATTCATTTGCCAAATATTTATCTCATGTCATCTTTGTATTAGACACTATAGTGAGCAAAACCAGAACCCTCCTCTTTCTCAGCTGCCAGAAGTAATTAATGGGTGGGGTAGGGATCATGGGAATTCTTTATCTGCATTTTCTCCTGTATATCTCCAGAATTATTCTTTGCCTGCATCCAAGCTGTCGTCAATTTAGTTCAATGTATCTTGTTATTTTTTTTTTAACCACTTTCTCCTGGGTAACCTCAACTGGACACTTGACTTACCTTCTCTCTTCTAGACTCACCTCTTCAAACCATCTTCTGCCTGTCTATAAAACATGAAATTAGTTATGCCCCTCCTTCAAAATTGTTAACATTGGGAAGAGGTTCACACTGCACAGCATGGTGATCTGGACTCTTCTTTGTTGTCCATTGCCTGGTTATCCATGTGCCTCGCTTCCTCTTCCCAGCCCCTGAGTTTCAGCTGTGTTTGCAATTCCTGAAAGATTTCCTCATACTTCTTTGTGCCTCCAAGCCTTGCACTCCACTATTTCTTCAGGCAGGAGCCTCATTCCCTCCTTCACAGGCTACCTCCGTCCATGATCTTGGTCCCCAGACAGAGTTGGTGGGCCTCATCTGGAACCATTTTCACCCTGATGTGAGTTTCCTTCCTTCCTTCCTTCTTCTCTCTTTCCCTGCCTCCCTCCCTCCCTCTCTCCCTTTCTTTTCTTTCTCTTTTTTTTGGTAATACTGGAGTTTTAAACTCAGGGCTTGTACTTGCTAAGCAGGCTCTCTAATTCTTGAGCTGTACCATCCCCCACCCCCAGCTAGAGTTACTTTCTTGGAGAAGTTCTCACCAACAAGCACCTGCTGGACTCTTTGAATGCTTATTGACTTAAATTTTCCTTTTTGTCTTTGACAAATGAAGGAAACAAAAAAATGTCTTATAGCAAAGTTGACAAATAAAATGATATCAATAGAAATAAAGAATAACATACATAGTCAAAAATGGTTACAACTCTGCTCTTAAGTGCATTCCACTACAGGGTTGTTCTTATGAGGAAGTCACATCAGCAGCCTTAGAGAAGCAGTCTCCCAGAACTCCCTACATGAGCCTCATTGCCTGAAATTTGACAATTAGATATTTATTTCTTAAGCTGTTAAAATGTGTGCTCTCTTAAAATATTAGTAATCTCCAAAGAAAGTAGGCCTCAGCCATAATAGATTTGCCTTGTCCTTCCCTAACTATAAGATGGAAGGAAAGATGGCAAGGGGCACAGATGGTATGAGGGAGGCAGGGGGAGAAAGGATATAGCACAGAGAAGACAGCTTCCCACTTTCCTTGGACTTGCCTCTGCCCAAGACATACTTGCTATTTATCTTCAAATAGGTTAGGCATTAATATCTGCAAAATGATGACTTGCTTATACTGATGATAGAGGAAAATGAAAGGGCTTGAATCTTAAAGAGGTGTTGGTAATAGAATGCTGATAATTTACACTCAAAGGAAAGATTTCTTTGCAATACTAAAATAAAAGTTATTTTAAAATAAGCTTGGCTATGCTGAAATATGTTTATATGATGTGAGACAGAGGGAGGTTGATAGATGACCTGTAGAATTCCCTATGAGTCTCTGAAAGTGAAATGATGGGTAAATCATGTGAAACAAGCTTATCTTTGCAATGGGTCTTCTTGCTGTATTATGGGCCTTGTTACTTATTTGAAAATTACATTGATAAAGTTGATTATGACTGATGGTTATGCTAAACAGCTGAGCAAATCCTTAAGGGAGAGGAATCAGATATGAAATAAAAGACCACTCTATTTAGATTGTCATTCTGGCCCGTGGCCGTTTTTCTTAGCATGCTCTGATGGAGACTGTGCTAAGCAATACATAAACCATAACTTAGAATGGAAAATAGCATTTCTGGTCCATCTTCACTGAACTTAAGTGTAACCAAGTAGTGATTTGGCAAATAACTATAAACTAAATCACCATAAATGTTAAATCTCATTTTCCCCAAATCCACCCCTCCCAAAAAAAGCATAAAAAATGAGGACTAATTTTCAGGATGATTATCAGATTAACTAGATAACAGCTTCCGCTTCTTTGAACCTCTATCTGAGATTTGCCTGTGTGGTCTGGACCAGAATGCTCAGGATGTCTTCATTTCTGTCCAGCAGGTGTCCCCATCTCAGCTGTGACAGGAGCCCTGGCTCAAAGTCAGGGACCTGAGTTGAGAGTGAAGTCTGTGGTAGGTTTATGATCTCCTCTTCAAATTCACAAAGTTTAGTTTTGTAACATCCTTTTGAAGTGGACTACTCCCCAGTATGTCTGGTGGAGTCTCATCAGAGACTCCATGGTTAGTGTATCACATCTGGAGATGGCTGAGTTTGCAGTTCCATCGCAGCTTTGCAAAAGAGATTGAAAAAGTAAGATACTATATTTGTGAAAACCACCCCCCCAATAACATAGTAGGCCCAGATTCCATATTTCACTCCATGGGGAGAATTCAAATCCCAATCAGCTTTATAAATTAACCTGGCCCCCTTTCTTCATCCAGCAGTCTGAGTTGAAATAGAGGTCTATTGTTGACTAAAGCTAGAAACAATGAGGCCTGCGTCCTTTCATGCCTACTGGACAGCCTATACCACGTGGGAGACTTTCAGAAGGAGAAACACAGGGACAGCAAGAAGCAGAGAATTATTATTCAGCGGCAATGGTCGTGATAACCCAGTCTGCTTCTGTGTGACAGTTCAGGCCACAATGACTCTTCTCCTAATCACTTCAGAAGTAAAAACTAATTCAAAACATGGACTGCCCAGCATCCTGGGTACTGGTAGCTGTAAGTGTTGTGGAATGCTGGAGGGAGTGCGTGCTTGTTCTCACCATGTTTACATTTGGTCTGAAGCCAGCATTTGCAAGTTCACCACTAATTATAACTCATGGCCTTTCTATGTGAAGAGCTTCTCTTTGGGTTGTAAAGAATTTTGTCTTACAAAAAAGAGGTCCCGGTTGTATTTCGATTACAAATTATCAAGAGATTTCCCTTTACCTTAAATAAAACCTAAGGTTTTGTTTTTAGTTTTGCAACCTTGGTGAGTGTTTTATGTTCCTTTTAGGCATTTGTTTATTCATTCATGACTGATTCTGAAGTTTCTCTGTTTCCAAAATGAAAGTCAAATACCTACATACACTTTTATAATAATCAATAGCTTAGACAATAGCATATAAATAATATCAGTTGTGATATATCCTGCCTGTGTCTGTTCAATGTGAGATTAAATTTTTAAGGATGAATTTGGTGGACATTAGTGCATATTTCCATTCTGCACAACATATCCTCAAAATATTTTAAGATTGTGCTTGTTTACTTCAGTGTAGGGTTTTCTTGGTAAGGCACTTTGTGATGTGCCTTATCATTGAATATGCTGTTCATTTCTCTGTGAAAACAAAGAGTGGAGAGGAGGAGGAAATCAATAGTTTTTTTTTGATAAATTTTGCCTTCAATTGACAGAGCCCTGGGCTTTCCTATTGCTTCCTCCCACTAAAGAAGAAAACTCAATACACTAAAGGTGTTCTATTCTTTCACGATTGCATAGAAAATAGGTCTGTGTATTATTTTAATGTTGTAAAGACATTGTGTGTTGGTGTATATAAGATGATAACTAGATTTTAAACCATAGGCCATCTTTGCTCATTGTTGCCTATGGGACTCAGTTTTACACTGTGAACTTAGTCCTCATCTTTGTGTTAAAATCCACTGAAGCCCCCACACTGCCTCCCCCTCAGCCCTGACCTGTGTGCGTCATTTCAGGTGTGCACTGTGACAGTGTGTGCGCTGAAGGACGCTGGGGCCCCAACTGCTCCCTGCCCTGCTATTGTAAAAATGGGGCTTCGTGTTCCCCCGATGATGGCATCTGTGAATGTGCGCCAGGATTCCGAGGCACCACTTGCCAGAGAAGTAAGTGTCTCATTAAGCAGTAATTGCTATTTCTCCTTCCCTGGGCTCTATGTGCAGAATGATGGTCTCTATCCCACCCCTCTGTTTATAGTGAGGTTCTGTTGCAACCAAGGGCAGAAGAGGGCATAATAGGTTACTTGTCCTTTGTAGAACTATCCTCAGTAGGACTTCCCCAGAACTTTATTCTTTTCAACCTCCAACCTTCAACTACCTTAACAGATGGGCTTAACCATTTCTTCCCAGTAATGATTTCAGTGTCTCGTTGGCACCGTCATCAGGACACAATTCTTGATTCTTCCTTAGAGCTTGCAAATGGTGTTCCAGAAATCCATTGACCTGTAAATATTTTATTCAGCAATTTGGCATGGGCCTCACCTCAATTACCAGAAGTCAACATCAGCCAAACCTTGAGGCAAATCATAATCCTCCTAGTAGTCTTAATGTCAGAGCTATGGGGCAAATGGAATTGCAAAGTTAAAAAATTAGGGCTGATAACATTGGTCAATATCACCTTCAAGTTAGGAAGTTGTACATTTTACTAACTCTTTTAGTAAATATAATCTAGAAAGAATATATGACTATGAGATACACTTTTCCTGTTACGAGATCTGTGTAGCCACTATGTATTTAAATCCAAATAAAGTCTTAGGAAGCACCTAAGCTCACTTTCTAACCACAGTCATTAACCTACACTGTTCTGATGAAGACAGATCTCATTTTGACAATAGATCTATTTATTGCCTATAATGAGTCTTAGAGAATAATGAATCAACAGATAGCTTGGGAATGCTTATTTGGGGGCTTATTAGTATTTAGAAATTTTCTCTTTTCTTTATTCATTCAACAAAAACTCTTTGAGCCCTTGGTCTATGCACAGCCTTAAGTTAATTATAGGTATCCTAAATAGGAAAATAAAGAGGCATAAGACATTTGCTTGTCCTGGAGGAATTTGGAGTTTAGTGGCTTCTTTTCCTTATTAAAGACTGCTTTTCCTGTTGTTGGTTACTTGGAAAATTCTCTGTGTCATTTTCTTTTTCCTCCAGACTTTAACAAGATCCTGATGTGGAATAGGAGACAAATGTGTCTCAGAAAGATAACTGTTGGTTTCCATTCTATTTTCAGTCTGCTCCCCTGGTTTTTATGGGCATCGCTGCAGCCAGACATGCCCCCAGTGTGTCCATAGCAGCGGCCCATGCCACCACATCACAGGCCTGTGTGACTGCTTGCCTGGCTTCACAGGAGCCCTCTGCAATGAAGGTAGGGTTCTGAGCATTTTGAAGAGAGAGATTGTGAAGAGAAAGTGCTACAGTGCTGTTTCAGACTTCCCAAAGGACATAGCTCTCACTGCCTTCTGGTGTGCTGTGTCTGCAGCTTCTGAAAATGACTGTGAGCTTTGAAAACGCTGGCTCGCCATGCCAGCAAAAGCTCTTTATTCTCTGAGCTGTGATCCTCTTCAGGTTTAATTGGGAACATCCTTCCATGAAAAATCAATATAAGGAAGGATTTTTGAATCCCTGAGTGAGAAGCTGTGAAGTCAGAGTTCTAGAAATGTAATATTGTCTCTTGGTTTGGGGGCCCTTAGTGAGGTCTCTTGCTCCATGTCTTTGTAAAAAACGAGTCCATATAAGATGGGTGGGGTGCTGCAGTGAAGAGACAGCTAGTCGATGGGTAGCTGGGTTGGTGACGCTTGAAGTCATTTCCTGTCCTAGGGGCCTAGGGTTCTGTGAGATGGATTGTGATTGCAAGTTACTGACCTGTAGCTTATTCACAGTGTGTCCCAGTGGCAGATTTGGGAAAAACTGTGCAGGAATTTGCACCTGCACCAACAATGGCACCTGTAACCCCATTGATAGATCCTGTCAGTGCTACCCGGGTTGGATTGGCAGTGACTGTTCTCAACGTAAGTCTTGCTGGGAACAACAACAAAACCATTCTTGTTTGTTTGTTTTTAAGAACCTCAAGATTTAAGTATGAGTATGCGTATAGTCAAGAAAGAATGTATGACCAATTAGCAAATGCATTCTAGTTTTTAAAGTCCTTTCTGTTAATAGCTCTCTGCAATGATCCAATCTCTACATCAAAGTGATGCATTGGGAAGAAGCTAAATATGTAACATTTGCTTATTTACCTTTCAGTGGCTCACTGTCCATTGATTTAAAACATAACTAGGTGTATTTAGAAGTCTGACTCTTAAAAAAAAGAATGGCAGCAACCTAAATAAATAAATGGGGCTAGAGATGTAGCTCAGTGGTAAACTGCTGCCTTGCATGCATAAGGCCCAGGGTTCAATCCTCAGCCCTGGAAAAAAAGGGAATTATATAATTTTCAGATTACCCAGGTCATTAAAAAGATGGCATTGACCATCATAAGTCTTTGGTTAATGCTTTGGGAGAGTCAATCAGTGAAACTTTTATAAGTGTTTAGCTTTTAACCAAGAATAGCTGTACTGGGGTAATCTAGTTCCATTCGTAATAAATTTCAAAGCAAATGCTTAATTTATATCAAATCCATTATGCAAATAAGAGAAAGCAAAGACTGACTATGTACTTATTTTACATGTAGTTGATTATCCATTTAATTCAGACGCCACAGTTATAACCAATTTTAAAATATTAATTTATGAATGATATACTTTTGCTAAAGATTTTTTTCTAAATTTTTTGAGTAGTTCAGGCTTTACCCTCTTTCTGAAAAAGAAGGAGGCAGAGCCCACTGATTTTGGACTGTTGCTCTTTGGTGAAAGAAGTGTTTGTTATTAGATGTAATTCTGTGGTATGTGTTTCATTCCGTTTGAGGGGCGTCATTTCAGAAGTAAATATAGTTTGTTCAAATCGCAGGGTCACTTGTGATTCAGGTTGGGATATGACAAGTTGAGAAACAGATACTGAAACTCAGTGACAGCGTTTGGAAAAAAAAGATCCAATGTCATTGCCGTATCATGATTTCGCTTCTTTAAAAAGTCCTCTTCATCTTGGAAGTTGGTCACTTCCAAAACAAAACAGGCACACCGCTATGAAGAAGACACTGGTGTTGCCTGTTCCCAGCCACCCCAGAAGAAGCTTATTTATTTAGCTGAAACCTTTGCTTCTCATGGGGATCATTGACTTCATTAACTCCCTTATGGACTCTATGGAACCATCTTAATATTTATTTTTGGCTGATTATCAGCCTGTCTAAAAAGAGAAAAGTCTTCCTCAATGAAAACAAAAAACTTTGAAAAATTAAAGGGGTGCATTTAAAGGGGTAAGTTTCCTTGACAAAATGATTTTTTAAGGCCCTGTCTCTACATTTATCACAGGGATGTAAAAGTTGAGTGATACTTATTCCCATTCTCTGATCATCACCAATATTGTGACTCATACAAGCAGTTACCTTAGAAAAATGTCATGGGCGTAAAAGAGTCTGCAAAAGCTTATTAAGTGTCATCTAAGAAGTAGGTTATTTCAGTAAAGCTTGTAGCATCCAACACTAGATGGACTGGACACTTGAGTCATTTTACCCTGAATCTAGTTTTTGTGGTTGTTCTTTTGTTTTCTTGCAGTATTGGGGATGGAATGCAGGGCCTGCACTTACTAGGCAAGTGCTCTACCACTCAGCCACATCCTCTGCCCTCATCCTGTCTCTCATGGCCTTCAGAGAGAAGCTGTGCTTCCCTAACTAATAACAAATACTTTGAATTTGTGTGGCCTTGGACTAGTCACCATTGATCTTTATTCAACTAAAGTTTCTTCATCTGTTAAATGAGGGTTTTCTCCTCAGAAAAATCCACTCTAATGCTCATTATAGACCTTGACTGCCGACTATTAATTTTTTCTTGCTCTTGGGTAAAAAAGGTGTACACACTTATGGGAGATTTTTTTAAAATGACTTCAGATATATTTGTTGTCTTTATTGCTCCATGTTTCCTACTGGATAATCATATAGAAAGTATATGTAGTCTTTCTTTTAATGAATAAAAAGTAGCTCATGAATCAGGTTATTTTCCCCCATGATCTTTATTTTATATTTTTATTAGCTTATGATAGTTGTACATGGGGATACATTGCAAGAGTTACATATGTACTTACAATGTATCTTCATTAGATGATCTTCTGTTTTTATTTCATACATTATCTCACTTTTTGATTGTTCTTCATTTAGCAGAAATCCATAAGGATTTAATTTTATCATCTTTTACTTCTTCCAATTAAGGGTTTCCCACAGCTGGGAACCTAACCATGTAAAGTGAACATATAGCAACAACTCCAGAGTTAAATAGTAGCAGGATTTAGAAATCAAAAACATAAATTACATGACCTGAGGTTCCTTTTTTACCATCTGCTCTCTGCTCAAATTTCCCCTCTTTAGACAGGCCATCCTTAAGGAGTGGCCCCCATCATTCTGTCCTCCTTATCCCATTTTAGTTTTTCCATAGTTTTTATCACCATTGTTTTTCCAATTGGCTGCTTCATTTTTCTTCTGACCCTACTAAAATATAAGTGGGAGGGGAGAGGTTATAATGAAAGAGTGCAGGAGGGTGAATATGTTGAAAATAGTATGTACTCACATATGAAAATGGAAAAATGAGAACTGTTGAAACTGTTCTAAGAATGGGGGGAGGGGGAATAAAGAATGATGGAGGGGATGAATTTAACTATGACATATTGTAAGCACTTGTATAATGCACCCCCAATAAAACAATAATATAATAATAAAAAAGCTATAAAAAAAGGAAAGAGAAAGATAGAAGAAAGAAAGAAAGAAAGAAGAGAGTCCAGAGCTGAGGGCATGGCTCAAGTGGTACAGTGCCTGCTTAGTAAGCACAAGGCTCTGAGTTCAAACCCCAGTATTGCATAAAATAAATAAATTAAAAAATATATATATCTAAAAGGTGGTTTGGACTTTGTCTTCTCCTCTTCTGTCTCTCTTATGCCTAGAACAGTACTGGACACACAGTAGGTATTGAATATGTATTTGTTTAATAACTGAATGTATAAATTTAAAACAATTCTTGCCCCATCTCTTCATTCTGCAGTTGTAAATGAACATGTCAGTGATCATAATCATTGTTGCTGTCAGCATTGCCTTGTTGGTTTCTGCACTAAATTGTGGGTTTATTGTACTTTCTTAGTCCTGATTTACACTATGACCTACCCCATCCAAGGAGATGGGTAGGGGTGATGGAGCTCTCTCTGCTTGGCGTTGGCCTCAGAACTAGTTTACATACCTCTCCATGCTTGCTGTGGTTTCAGCCTGTCCACCTGCTCACTGGGGCCCCAACTGCATCCATACTTGCAACTGCCACAACGGAGCCTTCTGCAGTGCCTACGACGGGGAATGTAAATGCACTCCTGGCTGGACGGGGCTCTACTGCACTCAGAGTAAGCAAGGAGCCTCTGAGGCTTAGGAAGGGGAGCCATAGCCAGCACAGCTGAGCTCGCCAAGGTTCTGGCAGGAAATACTTCATCTACCTAATGACCTCTAGACATCTAAATTTCTCTAACTGGCTAAGAGCAACAGTGTGAGGGCTTATAGCTTTTTGCAAAGCATCTGTGAAGCACAGTAATTGTTATTATGTAAATTAATAACAGTTACAGAGGACAAAACCAGTAGGAGAGCTGGAAGCAAAAGCATATAGCAGGACAGAGTGGCTCACACCTGTAATCCCAGCACTCAGGAGGCTGAGGCAGGAGGATTGGACATTTGAGACCAGCTTGGAGTTCATAGTGAGACCTGTCAAGAAAGAAAGAAAGAAAAAGAGAGATAGAGAGAGAAGAGAGAGAGAGAGAGAGAGAGAGAGAGAGAGAGAGAGAGAGAAAGGGAGGTAGAAAGGAAGGAAAGAAAGATGATACAGATAATTTTAATATAAAGTATTCATTTCAGTCTAGGAAATTCAAGTCTAGGATTCTAGTAGTTGGGTGAAGAAGGAAAGGAACTGCCCCACATATTCACAGGCTTTAAGGGAGGCTCTGTGGGAAGACACTAGTTTTGTCTCCATGGGAACCAATGATAGTTACTCTTCAGCCTCCTACTTGTGGGTTACACTTCCTTGCAAGCACCCTGATATGGGACTTCAAAGAAGCCCCCGTGGCAAACTGAGATATGCACTATTATATTTATTCTCAATGGCTCAGCATCCTTCAAGTTTAAACACAAAAATGTTAGAGGCAGGACCTGTGTTTCTCCTCAGCAGCCTTCTGACTCCTGCTGTCCTCCCTCCTCACACAGGATGCCCTTTGGGGTTTTATGGCAGGGACTGTGCATTGATATGCCAGTGTCAAAATGGAGCTGACTGTGACCACATCTCTGGGCAGTGCACTTGCCGCACGGGATTCATGGGAAGGCACTGTGAGCAGAGTGAGTATTAGAACATAATGCACTAGACAGTATTATTTTTTCTCTAGAATCAACTTCCAGAATACCTGTAATTATTGAGGCAGAATGACTGCAACTTTCAAGTTGTTAAGTGGGTGACTGGTTGGTTACTAGCATGATTGACTTCCCCTCCCAGAAATCTGCCTCCCTGGGACCCTGCCTGGCACCTTTCCTCCAAATTCTTTTGAGTAACCACTCAGCACTCTGGGTGGAAAAGGTGTGACTGCAGGATTGAAGACAGAATTCAAGTTTTCCATTATGATCTTTCGGGCTTTTCTTCCCTCTCTTATTTTTGGGGTGTGGATGCACAGAGCCTTCAAAGAAACTGTCCATCTTTCTTCAAGGCAGGGATGAACTTGGACTCACATTGGAGGATAGGATATTAAATGGGGAAGAGGCATAGGGGTCCAGGTCAGCCTCAGTAGGTAATGTGGGAACAAGTGCAGGCAAGCGTTGCCCCTGTTGACAACCTTTTATACTCCTACTAACAAAAAGTTAATCCCACTCAGGTAGAACATGCACTGTTGGAATTGAACATCCTGGTTTTTCCATTTCCACCCCATGAGCTATACATCCACTCACAGCACTGTAAGAACATTAACCTTGAACTGAATATGTCAAATGAATGTATCATTCCTTTCTTCTGTGCCTTCTATTCAATATTCAAGAAATTGAGTGGTCTAGGGTGTGAACTTGCTTGTGGCCAACACCCCCAAGGCAAAAGAAAGTGCAGGACAACTCCCCACTTGCCAGAAGGTGGACTCATGGAAGGATGTCCCAAAGGCGACATGGGTGCAGGTGTGGTATGGCCTGCAAAAGTGAATCATCAGAGCAGGACCTTGGCAATGAAGCATTTCTCTCCTGCACTCCCACACCTCCCATTTCCTAGGCAGCCAGGAGGTCTCACTTACGTGCTAAACCTACCATGTCTTTGCCTCGTCTCCCTCTAACAAATTCAAGAAGAGCTTCAGGAACCAGCTCAAGGCAGAGAGCATTGCTGTTTCATTTAATCATAAAACAGATACTGAGTTACATAATCTCATGCACAGCCCTCCTGGTGTGTATAAATACTGTGTGTGTATACATGTCTAATAGACATAAAACCAAAATGGGCTCTAGACTGACTTTCACTTGAATGCCAGATGACTGGTTAAGGTCTTATTAACTAAAAACCTCTTAAGTGCTTCCATGATTGTTATGAACAGCTAATTAAAATGTCCGTATTTTTGAAGACTTCTCCCAGTGCTCACTATAAACAGAAACCCTGTGTTTGCCAGGAAACTCTGATGTCAACACATTGCCCCCTGCTGTTCACCTTATAGAAAGCATCAATATTTTGTAAGAAAGATTTTCAGATTTAGCATACCTTTGCTGTTCGTTGAAAGTCATACCCAATTCTTATTATACTACATCATATAAATCCTACTACTTTAGACTCCAAAGCTGAAAGTGGTGAAATCAAAGTCTGAACTCTACGACAAATGAAGTTCTTACCTAGAAAATTAACAAAACTTGTCCTCCCAACTACTCCAAGTGAGAATCCCCGAGCCTGCAGGAAAATATATATCTTGTCAGGAAAGCACCTCTAGTTTACACTTCTCAGTCCTTGCAGCTCACAGTTTTGCCTGTGGAGTCATCTCAAATTGCTCTTCGTAATTATCTGTTCATTCCATGGGAAACTCTATATGTGCATTACATATTCAGCAGCCAGAAATGTCAGGAGCTGTAATGTTTAAGCAGCTCAGTCTCTAGCCCTGTGCAGACTGACTGAGTCCCACAATGACTCAGGGAATGCTGTCTGGGCAGTACAAGTCTGCCTGAACAGGAACCCCTGAAAAGGCTCACCTGTGCAGGTGCAGAGGACAGAGGAGGAGACAAGCTTGCTCCAGAGCCCCAAGGCTGGGGATCTACATTGACCTTATCTCCTTCTTCAGAGTGTCCTGCAGGAACATATGGTTATGGTTGTCGTCAGATATGTGACTGTCTGAACAACTCCACCTGTGACCACATCACTGGGACTTGTTACTGCAGCCCAGGATGGAAGGGGGCACGATGTGATCAAGGTATGAACATTAATAAATAATAAAGACGACCTCTTACTGTGAGGCCACCATGTAACGTAAGTATTTTCACTTACGTTATCTAGTGTAATCCTCATTACAACTCTGTGTGGTATAACTTGTTATTTATTTAGTTGCCAGGTGGCTGCCTTATTTTTGCTGTCCTATATATAAAGAAGCTAAAGCTTAGTGAGACAGAGTGATCCCCTCAAGGTCACATGACCAGTATATAGAATGTTACAGCTTTGATTCCAGGCTTCTCTAATTCCGAACTCATGAACTTTCTATGGGGTCTGTGATGTTTTTAGCTTTACTGAGCTGTATCTATCCACGGAGCCATCACCACTGTCACGACAATAGCCATCGTCATGTCTCTTCCTGCCAACCTTACCTCTTAGGTTCCAGGCAATCACTCATCTACTTTCTTCACTACAGATTGATTTGCATTCTCTAGATTTTCATGTAAATGGAATCCTACTGTACTGTTTTTATGTCTGGTTTTATTTAGCCAACATAAGCATTTCGAAATTGAACCATGCTAGTTTAGATTCCAGTAGTTCAGTTCTTTCTGTTGCTAAATGGCATCCCATTGAATGGATATGCCACAATTCGTTGACTTAGTCACCTCTTGATGGACTTGGGGTTGTTTCCAATTAGGAGGCTATTACAGATAAAGCTGCTGTGAACAATAGTATGCCAGTCTTTGGATACCATGTGCTTTCATTTCTCTTGGATAAATATCTAGAAATAGAAAGAGTGAGTCATAAGGGTGACATGCTTAACTTTTTAAGAAACTTGTGCCCATGGGTTTTAAGCAGGTATATTCATAATCACCTGGAAATTCTTCTGTGTAGCCTCCCTTGGGCAATGTGACTCTGGAGTGGATGGGTCCTTGGAGAAAGTGCTTCTGATGGTTCAGGGCATGCCTGTCAGAGAGCCCAGCTTCCACTGCATGTGGTGCTTCCTGGTAGTGATAAGCATATAGGTTGTAAAAGATTAGAAAATTTCGGCAGTGTTGTGCATGGACTTGTCCTGAACTGCAGACCACATAGTACTCATATTTGCGACATTTAATTTTTTCATAAACAACTTTTTCATGTGCACAATATATATGATTGTAATTACAATCAGATGTTATTTGTATTTCATGACCATGTCATAGACATTGCAAACACACTTTCACAGCCTACTGTTCTATATTTGTGTGTTTTGCGTTGTGTTGAATTTTGGTTTTTTGAGACAGTGTCTCTGTTTCACTATGTAGCCTGGACTGGCCTCTAACTCTCAGTTCTGCATCAGCTTAAGTGCTGGGATTATGAGCATGTACCACCACACCTAGCTCAGACCGTTTTATGGAAAGAATCGTAAAGTCATAGGAACATTTATCTGAGCTGAAAGCAGCTGTATGCACAGATGATGAAACTACAGCTTAAGCTCTTGAGGGAAAGTTCAGGTTATCTGTGTCATATTTCAGGTGCCTGATTCCTTGCCTCTCAATTCCTAATTCTCTTTACCTTCCTCACTTGATGAACAATAAGGAAGAATTACATTGAGCTGAATTGTTGGTTTAATGAGTGTTCTCTTTACTCTTTTGTTGCTGTGACTAAATAACTGACAGAAACAACTTAGAAGAAGAGAGATTTATTTTGGTGCATAATTTCAGAGGGTTTAGGCCATGGTTGCTTAGCCCCTTGTGGTTCATGGTGGTCAGGAAGCAGAGAGAGGGACAGGAAGGGGCCAGGGTAAGACATAGCCCCCAGGTACCTGTGTCCAGTAACCTACTTCCTCCAGCAAGACTCCACCTCTACCCTTCACTTCCCAATAAACCATAATACTATGAACCCATCAAGGGATTAATAAATTCATCAGGTCAGAGCCCCCGTGATCTAATTGTCTCTGGAAACATCATTGCAGACTCACCCAGAGATGTGCTTTGCCAATCTTCTAGGAAGTTATTAATCCAGTCAAGTTCACAATTAAGACTGGCCACTACAAGGAGAAAAGGTATACGGTAATATTATCAGGTACTGTCAAGAGAAATATTTCTGTCGTGGAAAGTAAGTTTTCACAGAACAATGAGGTCTCCTGAGGTAAGAGACTCATTGGAATTAGTTTTTGGGCTAGATTTATAATGGAATTATGTTCACTTGGAAGGAATATTACTCTTAGAAATACTAAAGATAAATGGAAGATTATGGTAGACAGTTGGGCTTGTAGGATTTAGCCCTGAATAAGCTCAGCACTAGATAATATATAAAGCAAAATCAAAGTTAGGTAAGTTAGTCTCCAAAAGTAATTGCCAGTCTAAGTGTTTAACCTGACACATAAGAAGCTATCAAACCCTAGTGATAAATCTTTGGGTTCAAATCCTGTCTTTTTGAGGTCAGAGCAGCCTTTCTGTGGGAACAGACAAGCTGACAACATCCAAAAATACAGAATGCTTATTTTTCTTTCCTGCTCTGTTTCCAGAAGTTTCCAAATTAGCATCTCGTGAGCTGAAAATATCCAGGCATTAGCACAGTGGGAGATTTTTGTCAATAGAGATCAAACATTCATCCAGCACATTGTTTCCTCACCGGAGTCTCTTCTCCTTTTTCCTAGCTGGTGTTATTATAGTTGGAAATCTGAACAGCTTAAGCCGAACCAGTACAGCCCTTCCTGCTGACTCTTACCAGATTGGAGCCATTGCCGGCATCGTCATTCTTGTCCTTCTTGTCCTCTTCCTACTGGCGCTGTTCATTATTTACAGACGCAAGCAGAAAGGGAAGGGCTCAGCCATGCCGGCAGTGACCTACACCCCTGCCATGAGGGTCATCAATGCAGATTATACCATGTCAGGTAAGGCATCGCACTCCCTGGAAAGCTAGGCCCTGCCTTGGTTCTTTAAAAGATTGAGTGTTTGACGGTGTGTCTGTCCCTTCTGTCAGTGCTCCCTGAGAGAATCACATGTTTGGAAATGGTATAACTTGGTAGAGATGTACTTTACATCTCAGCAGGAGTAAAGTCATCACTGTAATTTTCTATTAGAGTTTTAATATTGGGCTCGCCATGTGCTTGTTTTAGATTTAGAATATTCTTACTTTGCTGGGCACCATGTCCCAAGAGTTTGTCACATACGAGGGGGGAGGAAAGGGACAGGTCATGGAGTGGATCAGGGAAGCAGATAGATCTCCTATCTCTGTCCTGAATGCTTCCTACAGTGCCTTCCAGCCTCTCCCTGGGTCCACACAACACAGTAACTGATTAAATGATTTTTTAATACTAATAATAACCAAGGCAGTCCTGTAGGAAAGTTCTTTTGAATCTTCCTTTCTGTCCCAGGTCCTCATAAAAGAAAAAAAAAAGTTTAAGTGACATATTCAATCATCAGAAGAAGTAACCATTTAAACTGAGAAAATTGAAAACTTAAAATCTTTATTAATTTTAGAGTGATTACTGACTGAGGGGTTTCAGACTGGTTACAAGTTTATAAATATTACAGCCCTGGGGAGAATCTGTGAAGTAGCTGCTTTACATTATAGTACACTTTCAGTGCAGAAATGCTGTGTCAAGAAATCAAGTATTTTTTTAAAGGACACTTAGAGTAGAAGTAGCTTCAAACAATGCTGTCCCAGCCTTACAAGCCCCAAAACTAAGAGCAGCCACCTGGGGAAGTGTTCACACTTTTCAAGGGGGCAGGAAGGCTGGTGGATGCCTGCTTCTTCTAGGAGCTTTGCTGAGTAAGCTTGACAGATGGAAGCAGTCCAAACATTTATTCTGCCATTTTGACTTTCTTTTCCCTACACAGATTTAGGGGAGCCTACTGTCTTAACTGCTTCCTTCTCTTCTTGCAGAAACTCTGCCCCATAGCAACGGTGGAAATGCTAACAGCCACTACTTCACCAATCCCAGTTACCACACGCTTACACAGTGTGCCACATCCCCTCATGTCAACAACAGGGACAGGATAACCATTGCCAAGGTGAGAACAAATGCCGAGGTGAGCAGAGGAGACATGCTCTGTTAGGTACAGGCACTTCACATGTATTGAACAACTGATTCCTCTACAGAGTCCTCTGGGTGTGTCTCAGTACCTCAAGTGTACTGACCAAAACCCAAGAAACTTAGACATCCAGTCACTTCCAAACCCATGCCCAACTAATAAATGAGACAGCTGCAGTGTGTGGCAAGGGCTCCCTGTCTCTACAATCCATACTGTGTCCATCACACCCTCTTGGAAAAATGTTGCTAATTTTGTATGAGATTTTTAAATAATGTCTCATGGCAATGTTAATAAAAACATAAAGACCTATAGCAGAATCAACTCTGGGTATAATCAAGTTTACATTTTCTGGCTACCCATCTTCTGGTATGCTTTCCTAGAGCTTTACACTTTAGTAGCAATGACAATAACATGTATTTGGGTTGAGTCACAGGGTACTGCTGTTTTTGTAATCCAAAAATGGTCAAACAGCAATGAGCCAGTACTACTTGCCGAGCATTTACAATCACTTTACACATACAACCTCATTCAATCTGCAGCTAATCCTATGACTCTAGAGTGACTATTATCCCATTTTACCAGTGAGGAAAGTGATAACACAAGGAAGCTAGACACCCAGGCTGTACCGCTCGACTCTCCCCACAGTACTCTGAACCCCAAACATTGCTGCCTTCAAACTGTACCTAAATTCTGTTTCCATTCTCCATTGTCCAGCTTTCTATTAGGAAAAAAAGATAATTAACTTAATCCATGTATCATTAAGTTAATGCAGCTAGATTTTAATTATGGTGTCTCACAGTTAAAGAACATTTCATATTCTTCAGAGATTCATATTCATCATTCTACTTGCTCCCCTATAGATTCAGGGAGGAAGGCAAAGCAGGTCATTTTATCCTCATGTTTATGCCAGGAAACCCCCTGGTTCACTACTCATTAACACCAGATCATACATATTTTGATGGGAAAGTTATACCCAAAATTCACTTTTTTCTTCAAGGTTCCATGTACATAAACCCAGATAAGGTCCAATGGGCACATGGTGACAAAATGAAACAAAGAGCTTTGGGTCATGGAGAGACGAGCAGGGCTGACAGATGTGTTCTCTGCCCTCCAGGGAACCTCACCTGCCCCCTGATCAGCCTCCTGGAAGGGTGGGGTCCTTCCCATGTGCCCTGGACTTGCTTTTCTCTAGACAGATTAACATTGTGCTATGCTACACTGCATTGTCTTTTTAAATCTTTGTTTTTTATGTTTTCAATAGTCAAAAAACAGCCAGCTATTTGTGAATCTTAAAAACATGAATCCTGGGAAGAGAGGCCCAGTGGTAGACTGCACAGGGACCTTGCCAGCCGACTGGAAGCACGGTGGCTACCTCAACGAGCTCGGTGAGTGCAACTAGAAACTTCTAGCACCCAAAATAGTTATAGAGCTGTGTCTGGGCCACAGCCATCTCTTGGGGATATGCATCAGAACCCCAAACAGCAGAATTATGCCTAACACCTCTGTAGGACTTCCTTCCATCCCTAGCAAATACACGTCCAGCTCCTACCATGTGCCAGGAAGTGATAGGTAAAGCTTACATTCTAGCCCCACACATTAACTTAGCTAATTCTCAAAATTACTCTGATAGGAGACGCTAGTATAGTCATCATCTTTGTAGGATGGTTGAGAAATTGAGTCATAAGAGGTAGAACAACTTACAGAAGGCCTGGGAGCCTGTTCAAAACAGAGCTGGCATTTGAACCCTGTCAGCTTGGTGCCAGGATGTGGACTGCTCTTCGTTCTCTTTTAATAGTGGGCATCACACATGGCACCCCTTCCCACTTTGGGTAAGGAAACAGAGATATCAGCAGGAAAGTGCATGAGTAAAAATTCTTAAAAGTTATTGAGGAACCCCAAAGTACTTCAATTGATGGGGACCATATCAATTGTTATTTGTCATATTGCAAATTAAAGCTAAGAACATTTTTTTATTTCTTTTATTCATATATGCATATAATGTTTGGGTCATTTCTCCCCCCTTCCCTCTGCCCCCTCTCTCTCCCCTGCCCCCTCCCTCTCCCTCCCACCCCCTCGCTACCAGGCAGAAACTATTTTGCCCTTTTCTCTAATTTTGTTGAAGAGAGAGTATAAGCAATAATAAGAAGGACCAAGGGTTTTTGCTAGTTGAGATAAGGATAAAGCTAAGAACATTTAAAAATAGGTATTTATTAACTTCTTTACAATAATAATGATCTCAGTTCATAACATAAAACATGTTTTTATGAAAAATAACTATTTCCCCCAAATTAGTGAGAAGAGTAGCACCATTTTACATTTTATAAATCTCTTCAATGTCTAATCGTCATATCCACTTTTGCATTCAGTCAGAGGTGATCTCTTATTTTGTGTAGCTTCTGGAAAGCTCCATTGAACAGTTGAAAGAAAATTAGTGAAATTATTTTATTATGAAAACAGTTTTCCTTATGTGAACCTCCTGCAAAGGGGTTTTGGATGCCTGGCTCACACTTACAGAACAGTACCAGGTACAGTTTCCAAGCATGAGCTTCAGGGGGAGATTAGTAGCCTAATGTGTGTGCAATGCCTTATGGGTAACAAACACTTTCACATGTATTTATTTGGTGGTAAGGTTGTCAGGAAGCCCACTGCAATTTCAACTTCAGATAAAGAAAAATATGACATTTTTCAAAAATATGACAAATGTCACATCTACTAGGTAGATTCTCCCATGAGTCTTGTTCTAAAGATCCATAAACTAGAAAGCACAGGGAAGTTAACTCTCTTGTCCAAAATTCACAGAAGGAAAGGGAGTAAAGCCAATTTCAAGGTTGGTCTGTTGATTGTTCCTCTCTACTTCTTCTGTGAACACTGTGTGTCAAATTCCCTGAGACATAGGAACCAATCCATGTGGGCTCTGGAATGCCTCTTTCTGTAGATATATACATGTTTCCTTGAAAAGTGAGCACAAAATCTTAACTTTTGTCTGCATTCTATACTTACATTACCAATGGGATTTTATGTTTAAATAGGTACGGCAAAATTATTTACACACCAGATTCACAGTATGCGTACTAGTAAAAAGACTCAACATTAAAAGAGATTTACAAAGCTCTAGATTATACTGATAATTTAGCCCAAAGAAGCATATAAATTGGTATTCTGTACTAATGAGGAAAATGTCCTCTTATTCTGTCTTGACCTACTGTAATTTGTCCTAACTTCAGAACATACAAAACCACTGCATTGGCCATAAGGTCTCTGCTTTCTGTCTCAGTGAGACAACAGAGACTGGTTGTTGGAAACACAGAACCTTCATTGGAAGTTTTGGGTCTCTTTGGTGTATTTTCTCCTAAGAGAAATTCAGCATTTAATGTCCCTTTAAAGTTATTGTACAGAAAAGTCCCTTTTATATAACAAAGATCAAAATAAAGCATAAAATGGACGATATGTGTATGTGATTTAAAACTGGTGAAATAGTTGTGATGGTATCTGAAAGAGTCCTGTACTTTGCCCCAGAAGCCCAGAGATCGATTCCTTTTTCTGTTACATGACACTGAGTCAGTTGTGCCCTTTTGTAAAATGGGGCTTATAATCATACACCAGCTCGCTGTAAGAATCCTATTACGCCAAGTTCTTGAAAACATCTGTCTCAGGGATTTGTAAGGAACCCACCTGGTCTCTTGTTAAAAAGCTCCCAGATCCTCCAATGCACTGAGGAGAGAATCTGCTGGGTGGCTGGTCTCACAACCCCAGCTGTCCTTCCCTAAGTTGGTGTCTACCATGCTGCTCCTCTCTTTAAGCTCTTGGGAAAGGCATGCCATTGCATAGCAAGGACCAAGAAAAACATTTAACAAGACTAGTTTCCTGGTAAGGTGTCTCTCAGAGGTTTGTGCCACCCATGGGGTCTCTGTACAAAGTCTAGGAATCCCCAGGATAGCTCTTACTTGTGACACTAGTTGTAAGCTCATAGGTGAACAATACTCTCTGGATCAATAATTTTGTAGAAGGTCTCACAAAACTCAGTGAATGCTCCTATCTTTCCTGTTTCAGTTTATTACAGCAAACTGATATGGATTAAAATCAACCAGAGGAAGGGAACCCTGAGCAGAGTTCAGGAAAAACAAAGTTGTCCTTTCCCAGTGAATCATTAATGGGCTTGTGATGTGAACAGGATTTTCTGCCCATGTGGCTGATCTTTTGTCTCCATTCCTCCAGAAGACAAACTGACACGACATGGCCCAAACCCCCCAGCATACATCATTTTTTTTAGACTGTCAACCAAAGTTTCCACTCTCAGCCCCTAAGAAAAAAACACTCTCATTGGGCAGGATATTCTAAGAATTTAGGGATCATCTCCCAATAGCTGAGACCAAAAGCCAGACTTCTCTTTGATAAGGTTAACTCTTTATTACAAGTTCTTTGATATTGCTTCCCTATATAACCCTATGCCTTTCCAAAAAATTCCCACTTCCTGTCCCACAATGATTGATACGAGATACTCTCTTCCTTTAGTAGAGCCCCTCTCTTTCTCTGCAGAGACATGTCTTACTCAATGGTCCCCATAGGACATCACCATCAGAACTTGAGTTTAACATCACTCTAAAAGGTGTGTGATGGGGCAGGGTATCATTTCTTTAACATCCTCAGATACTTGTTTGGAATGCTCATCACAAGTCATTAATTCTTGCTTTTTGAGTGATAATCGACAATGCCTTGGAATGCTTACCAATAAACTGATCACTCACTCAGGGTCATATGACACATTTTACAGTAACTGAAATCCCATTCATTTATATGGTGCTTCAGAGTTTAGAAAGCCTTTTCATATGCTCTGTTTTACTTAATGATGATAATAACCCTATAAGACTGGTTATGTATTCCCTGTTTTAGAGATAAGAAAATTGACACTCAGAGAGTTGAAGATCTTGTCCAAAGTCATATGACTAATAAGTAATGCTCAGTTCTTTGTCTCTAATCTATTATGGTTTTTATTCTTTGTCATGACCACCTCTAATACAATCCTTGATTGCTATTTGGTACTAAAAATGCACTTTAGCATTTATGCCAAGCAATGTAACATAGACTAGATAAAAGCCTCTTATCTTCTTGGTAATATTGTGAATATTATCAAATTCTGACTAAAGTCTTCTCTTTTGTATAAGAAGATACTTAAGACTTTATTTATTTAAACAAGTGGTTTCATGTTCTCACTACCAGAATATTTGATTTTCCCCAGTGTGAGCAGGAATATTCCTCCTCTATTCTCCTTCTACTCCTACTCCATGCAGGCCAGATATTTTAAATAAAAAGAAAGAAAGCCATTTGCTTTTGTCTAGGTAGATTCATACACCCCCATACCTGGAAAAGTTAAATTGCTAAAATAAAAGCTTAATAAAACTGGCCAAGATCTAGTATTGGCCTATAAAGGTAAGTCAAGAGTGTTGGAAGCTGCTAGTTTTTAGAAACGTGCATATAATAGAGGCAATGCATCTCCTTCTGGTGGTTACTGGAAAAAACATCAGCGTGTTAATAAAGCTACCTTCTACTGTGCAACCTTGAATCCAGAATATTGACTCAACTTTCACTAGGCCTTCCCTGAAGCCATCCTCCTCCCAAAGAGCAAAGGAATGATCCTATATTCACACACACACACACTGCGTATGCAGAGCGATCAGGGCTGTGGCACAACCGAGCTGGTCTAAAAGTTAAAAAGGAGCAGCCTTCGTGATTTGCTGCAGGAGTCGGTGGGGGAGGGGGGAGTGAAATTCCACAATGATCTTTGAACATTAGGTTGGTTTTCTCTTCCTTTCAGTTCTCACATGGTGGTTTTTCTTCATCACAGGTGCTTTTGGACTTGACAGAAGCTATATGGGGAAATCGTTAAAAGGTATGGTGAACATTTGAGGAAATATGCATATCACTAAAAAATTTTCTGAGAGATTAAAATAACTTTTAAATAAGCAAAAGTGGCAGTGTAGAGATAAATCTTGAAATTCCCATGTGGTAAATTACTGTAACACACAAGCGTATTTGGTCAACATCAAGAGAGTGACCATAGGTGGATCTTGTTAGAGCAATAGTCTGGGGGAAAAAAGGTTTCAAATTAATGAGGAAATACTCATATTTGCCTTAAAAGAAATATGGCAGGGTTAGGGGTGTAGCTTAAGTGGTAGAGCATCTGCCTAGCAAGTTTTGAAATGCAAAAAAGGGAGGGAGGAAAAGAAATATGGTTTATGAGGAAAGAAAATGTAGAATAGGAAATAAATAAGAAATAGCCAGGAAAATAAGAAGATATCAGAATGTTTATGTGTTGACTAAGGTCTGCGCTTCAAGATAAGTTGGAGTGAAAAGGTGCCAAGGCCAAAGTTTCACAGGGAGTTTTCACAGCACACATACCTTTCTCTTCATGGTAATAGAACCATCTTCTGCTCCTGGGGCCATCAACTGCTAGTTTCTATAGAGGAGCTTTTATAAATTCAAAGACTTCAATTAATAAATTTTCTATTCTGAAAACAGAATGGAATTAATTGTGCTTGAATATTATCATCAAATTGAAATCAGATAGATGGTGTTTTCATTGGTACTCCCCTTAAAGAGGAGGTAACATTAATTTATAGATGACTAATTGTATAGCAAATTCTCTCCAAAGTAAGTGGAAAATATGTAGCATTGTTCTCAGTAGAAAATAGTTATAAAGACTTAGCCACAAAGAAAAAGAAGTAACCTGTCCAAGTCTGTTATCACGAAGAAACAGCATTTGCTTTCCTTCCATCTCTCATCACAGATTTGGGAAAGAATTCTGAATATAATTCAAGCAACTGCTCCTTAAGCAGTTCTGAAAACCCATATGCCACGATTAAAGACCCACCTATACTTCTCCCTAAAAACTCAGAGTGTGGCTATGTGGAAATGAAGTCACCAGCACGAAGAGACTCTCCATATGCAGAGATCAGTACCTCAGCTTCAGCCAACAAGAATGTCTATGAAGTTGGTGAGTTCTTCTAGTCATAAATAAAACCTGATGCATAAGATTGCTTTTGAAACAATTTTAAATTGCCCATATTTTAGATGCAGCCTGTTTACAGTGATCATATTAATTGATGTGAAATTAATTTTTAGGGAAAATAGCATTTAGCAAATTTAAAGTAATTTTCCTTATCTTCCACTGGATCACCCATCTTTTATTTTGTAACCATGGTAAATATTTTTGCACACATGTGGAACAGCATGTGTCATATCAGTTAACATATCAAGTTAATCAAAACAAGTGGTGCAGGTGTTCCATTTCCTAGCTGAATTCATTATATTAATATAATGCTTTTAGCAGGATGGGACCATTTTATTTTAAACTTATTTAATATATCAGTAGTATTCTCAGATGTGAATCTGATACAAATCAGTAGGAATTCAATTTAAAATTATAGTTATTTTGAATGCTTTTTGCAAATACCATTTGGGAAAAGATAAAACATACCACAACCACAGTTGGCAAAGTAATAGGGATATATATCTTAGTCTCTCTTTCTCTCCCTCTCTCTATCTCTGACTCTTTCATAGTATTTATGATATTAACTTCAAAAAATTATTTGCCACTTGTAACTACAAATTTAGCAATAGCAATTAATTTTATGCCAGAAACATGCCACTGAAAAAACATGAAATGATTGATTTTTAAAGTATTAAGGCAGATTTTTAATTTGAAAACTGCAGTGAGTTTAATTTCTTTATTTTTCAATGAGTAACAATTTCCCCTTTAATTTTTCCTGAAAGCCCACCATAGTAGGCTGTGTGAGTTCTGAGTGTTAAAGTTGTGAACATGGTGTGTGTTTCCATGAATTGAGTCAACCTTTAAGGACCAACAGAATCAGGGGTTTGAACTAGATTATTCTCAAGGTGTTTTTCAGACAATGATTAATATCCAGGGTTTCAGCATATTCTCTTGATTTCTTCATATCAAACATGTGGTCTTCCTTTTGTTCTGAACAGCATTTGTGTGTGTGTCAGTTGGTCCAACAGCTACAGTTCCCACCCCTATGTAATTATAAAAGAATCATATTTTTAAAACTTTATATTTTTTATAAAAGTATGCATGTGTTTGATATTTGCAAGAAGTGCCATCTATTTTTTAACTTTCCCTTGCTGGATAAATTAATGTGTCCCCGGTTATTGCAGAACCTACAGTGAGTATCGTCCAAGGAATATTCAGCAATAATGGGCATCTCACCCAGGATCCATATGACCTGCCAAAGAACAGTCACATCCCTTGCCATTATGACCTGCTGCCAGTCCGGGACAGTTCATCCTCACCCAAGAGAGAGAACAGTGGTGGCAGCAGTAGCAGTAGCAGCAGCAGTGAATGACACCAAAGGACCGCTGGGTGACCCCTGAACCCCTTTCCAGAACTGCAGTTCAGTTCTTCTCCATCCTCGAGTTTGCCACCTTAGATTAATGTTAATCTACTTGGTAGGCAATTGTTGGACTTGAAACAGAAATCTCAAAGCTGAGGCTGTTGCTCATTTTAGGTGACTTTTGTACAGGTGGTTTGGAAGGAGATAGCAACCTGTTTCCCATTGCTGTTAGTTTTAGAACTGTGCCCATGAAGCATGAGTTATTGGAAAATGTTGGCTAAAAGCATGAACTTGCACAAGTCCTTTGGAGAAACAGGCTGTGGAGGACATTGGTATCAGTGCTTGGAAATTTTAAACAAGTATTTTTTTCTCATTTTCATTATAGAGCTGTGCAGTTTACCATAAACTTACTTATTAAGTGGGAATCATTAAACATGTTGGAGGCAAGAGGCATATTTTTGAGTCCTTGTTGCTTAATTTTTTCCCAGCTGGACTCAATTATGGGGATTATATGAACGAAAGACAAAGCACTCTGTCAGGTGGCAGGTCTGGATAATATTTGAACAAACACTAGTGGTGGATAGCAAATTTAAATATAAACACTAGGTTTTTTCAGAATGAGAAAATGTACAATTTAGAATTATTTTAGAAACAGTAGAAATATTGCAGAAATCAATACACAAATGTGCCAGGCAGAGGTGGTCTTTCTCTGTTTGACCCTTGGCCAATTTTAGATCCATGATGTTATTCTGTCATTGTCTCCATCATGCATATTCACTGAGAGTAATAACATATCAGCAATTATTTCATAAATATAGAATTGAAATAATTTTATTTTTGAAAGACTGGATTGAATTAGTGTGTAATGATTGGCAGAGGTTGTAAATTTTAAGTGTGAGAAGATGCTTACATTTTGTAAACCATTAGTTTATACATGCTGTAAAGTAGAATTAGTAGAAAGTTTTGATTAATTTTTCCCTAGAAGTGACTGAAACATTTTTGTGCATATTTGGCAAAAGGGCACTTTCCTTGTATTAATTGTTGATTTAGAGAAACTATGCTTAAGCTGGTCTTTTGCATTGCTAATATGACATGTACCCCACTTTCATTAATTTGTATTTTCATTAAGTTGTGTATTCTGTTTTGTATTGTTTGGATTGTTAATGAAAAAAACCATTATATGTTCATTGTTTCTTGTATTATTACCATTCATCTTTTACTTGATAAAAATGCATTTTTTTTCCTTTTGGAGGAAAGAAATGAAAATATATAATTTGAACCTACTAAAATTGGTCATTACTAAAATAGTACAGCAAACACAGGTAAATGGCTTATGATTGAGATAAAGAGGCTTTCTAATTTTCCAAAACAGAGCACCTTTGATCTGTTAGTTTCCTGAGTTTTGGTTAAACCAGGGGGAAGGAAAGCAGTGAGTACTATAGACTGATCTTACTAAGAAGACCTTCATTACAATAATCACATAATTGTCCACCCAAACTGGGATGCTTTTGCCTGTAAATGAAGGCGTTGTTCTCATTCTTCTGCAATGGGCTTCAGTGTGGACTGTTCTAAGTAGACCAGAAGATGTTCATCCTGTGTACACTTACACAATACATTTTTCAGTTCAGTGCATTTGTCTCACGAGCGCACTGATCTGATGCAAGAAAGCCCCTTTTAGCAGAGGAGCTGAAAGGCTGAATGAGGAAGCAACTGCTTAAGAGAAAACAGTGGTCTTTTAAAAACATGAAACTTTATATGCTTTCTGTCTGAGTCAGTTGATAATTATATACTGTACACCCATCCACAGGTAGTATCCTCAAGGCACTGTCCCTGCCAGGTTTTGAGTGGGTATATCTAGTTATTTCATGTCACACATGTGTGCCTGTGATGGTAGTTTGTTTGATCAGGTGGATAATACAACAAACACACCCAGGATACTCACTCTTTTAAGGAACTGCAAAGTTAATTTAAGGAAATAAGGAATTGCCTGGAATGCGCTTTAGAAATGACTTATTTCAATAATTAACCACTGGCTGACCCTTCAGGGATAGGCATTGAACTGGACACACATGGGTCAGTAGCCAAAAAGAGTCTTTTCTGGTAAGAAAAGAAAAGAAAGACATTTCCCCCTTATTTTTAAAGGATCTCTTCAGAGCTCCATGGCAATTTGAGTTTTCCCATTATTCCCTGGAGATAAGTCAAAAGAACTTTTCTCATCCCACTATTTCAAAAAGGAAAGCTTCATGCTGAAGGGTAACAGCAGCTTAAGTAGAAAGTCTGAACAATAGATGTGGGCTCCAAAGGGTCAGCAATGTCTTGAACACTTGTACACAAGGCAATTCTTGTTATCAGATTCACTCAGGACTTTTCAAACATCAGAACACATGTAGCACTCTGGATATTATAAAACTTTATAATATTTGGAAAGAAGGTAAAATTTTCTCAGTATTTTGATATAATTTCTCTCCTGTATCCTGTAGTGATAAAGGCACTGAATGAGTTTGGAGACACCTTGCAAAATCAATTCATATAAGAATGTACACCAAGCTATTATTCTTTCCTTAGAAGTTGATGTCTCAGAAACTTAAAATTTTATAAATTATTTGTATTTACATGTAAGCACATCAGAACTTGTCTAAGTGATAACTCATATGCTTGCTTTAATTAGAAAACGTTGTTGTAGTTAATTATATGGTGAGAAGGAAAAATTCTGAATTATTTACAGTGCTGGATGTTAGTTCCTCTCCTGTAGCATAGTAATAATGTTAACAGAGAGTTTAATGTGTTTAGCATTATCTTCATGGAAATTTTATTCATCATTTTAGAAAAGCCAGCCATGTAATTTTATAATAGAACAGTATAAATTGTCCCAACCAAATCCATTAGCACAAGGACTGCATGCTGTGAGAAATACAAACATTATGAAAATGTGCTTACACTGTGTGTATCAGTGTGCTACAGCTGTAATCAGTTGTTGGAATTTTTAACTAAAAATATTTTATAAATTGAACAAGAGTATCACAATTCATGTCAATGTTAGAAGTCCACTTTGCACTAAAAAGCCTTTAAAAAAACTGAGTTTTAAGGGTTATGTTTTTTAAAATAATGAAGTTTCTATCTTTGGGTAGCATGTCTTTATTATTCAAACTAAATAGTTAAGAGATATTTTGTCTTAAAGGCTTTACCTCATGCAAGTATGCATAGACATGCACGTGTGAATTACATGGTATGGGCGGGGCTTGTCTCTTTTAGAGTCCTGTTGATGTTGGTGTACTAACACGGGGTCTGTTTATTCTAGCTCAGTATTTAATCTAGGCTTCATTTTGGTAGGACCAAATCAACAATATATATTTTTAAAAGGAAAAAGTTAAAGTGCATTAGAATTTCCTTGGTTATAGCAGAAAAAAAAATGCTTTCAGTATTGAAATATCTCTATTTTCCAAAGATGATAAACTTTCATCAGCATTAGTGTATGTTGACATTTATCACCAAAAGGGTTTATAGATTAATACAATAAATTTTCTAATAAAAAAACCTCTAAAGCAGTGTTTATTTCTATATATGATTCTACTGCTGATTAATGAGAGAAAATGAATTATTATCCTAGTAGAAAAATGAATATTTTTTCGTGTGTGGCTCAAGGCACTTTACATACACACTTTTAAAACAGTAACACTTAATGAGGTTGAATTGCTGGTATATATATTTTCCCTTCAGATTGCTTGCTCTTTAAAGATAGAATCAACGTTTTATTCATATGTGGATCCCTGGAACTCAGGTTAGCAGCTGAGTTAGATCTTTTGCAAATAGCTTTAAGTTATTTTATGTGGATTTGCTTTCTAAATCTCAGTGCCTGTTAATGCTTTCATTAATAATTAAGACATTTTAAAGAACTGTGTTTTAGGGGTCAAAAAATGGATAAAACATTGTTTCTTCTTTCATTAGCTATCAATTTCCTGGATGTCTGAGTGCTAAGCACAGTTGGGGATGCAGAGAGGTACGATGAGCTATTAATAAGTCACTCATCATTCAGTTAGGAAAATAAAGCATGTGTGATTAGCTTCATGACCTTGCAGGTTACTTAACCTCTCAAGGCTCTAGTTTCAATATTGTAATGTATTGGAAATAGTAGTGACTATTTCACAGGGTTTTGTGAGGATTCAATAACCTAACAAAACACTTATTGCAGTGATGGGCACATAGTAGAAACCTAGTAGATGTTAGCCAGCATTGCTACTATGAAAAATATTACCTAATAATATGAGCCAGTTTGCAATAACCAGATGAATGAGGAGGCTGGTAAGTCATAAGTGAGCATTTAATGAATATTATAAAAGCTATATGTTCATGTGACCGTATTCTGGTCTAGTTTTGTGATATCACAAAACCCCATACATATTTTATTTCTAAAGAAGTAATTTTGGAAAGCAATAGTATGATATCATCTTCTAGTAACATGGTATCTTTAAGAGTTAATAATACTGTTCAAATATATGGACATGGGTTTCTGAGAACATAGTGACCTGGCCCCATATTCCCATCCTGGAGAATATGGTCAACCAGAAAAGGTCAGGACTGATTTAGGCAATCTGAAGAGGCCCACATATAATGAGACATTGAGTCCTGAACAAAGGCAAATATGGAAATGTCAATTTCTGGGAGCGGATGGATGTGGGTTGTGGAGGGTACATGGTGAGAGGTAGCTGACTGGGGTAGATACACAGAGAAAGTAAGGGAGGAATGTCTCTGCTGTCTGCATGGAGGCTAACTATCCATTGGGTGATCTTAGGCATCAGAGTTTCCATGTTGGACTGAGGTTAGCATATCTCTACTTAGCACTTGTGAACTGAGGGACCTTCTGCCACTTACATTGGCAAAGGATCTAAGCTGACCGCTGGCTGCTCACTAAGCCCATTTGTTGCACTACTCCTAAGAACCAGGGAGGTCCTCAGAGCACACCATCCACACAAAAAGGCAGAGAAAGATTACAAAACATTTAATGGGAACATTGCTGCCTAGGTAGGATAAGAAACTAAATTGGAAAACTACATTGGGGCCTCTGTTATGTAGGTGAGTATAATGTAGAAAATGGAAGAAAACATAGATCAGATATAATTAAAACTCTTAAAGTGATACAATTATGGGAGCAGAAAGTTTCTGGAACTAAAAATAGCAATTTCCCAATTTAAAAATTCATTAGAGGACTATAAAAGAAAAAATAATATGTTAACTGCCAAGACTGAATTCATATATTAGAAGATGAAATGCAATGAAGAGTAAAATTTTAAAGATGGAAATCACAGGTGAAAGCAAAAACTGGTCCAAGTCCTAATATTTAAATAGTTACCGATTCACAACTTAGAATGTAACACACTTGTGCATGGAAGCAATGCTAGGAATCTCACTGTATAGCTATCCTTATCTCAAATAGCAAAAATGTTTTGTCTTTCTTATTATTGTTTACACTCTCTCTTCAACAAAATTAGAGATAAGAGCAAAATAGTTTCTGCGTGGAAGCGGGGGGGCACATATGAATAAATGAAAAATAAATAAATAAATACTATTTAAAGTGAAAATAAATAAATAATTACTGATTCAGAAATAGAAAAATGAAATTGGAGAAGTAGTAATGGAGGGATAATAGGATTTGGTACCAGTGGCTCATACCTGTAACCCTAGTTACTTGGAAGGCTGAGATTGGGAGGATGGTGGGTCAAGACCAGCCTGAGAAGGGAGTTCTTGAGACAACATCTCAACCAATAGCTAGACATGGTGGCACTCACCTATTGCTTAGGTTGGAAGGATCACAGTTCCAAGCCAGCAGGGATAAAAATGTTTGCAAGACTCCATCTCAACAAAAAAAAAGCTGAGCATGTTGGCACTTACCTGTCATCCAGCAACAGCAGGAAGCTTAAAATAGGAGGATCATGGTTCAGGCCAGCCTGGGCAAAAAGCAAGGCCCTGTCTCTACAATAGCTAGAGCAAAAAGGGTTGGAGTCTGGCTCAAGTGATAGAGCACCTGCCTCACAAGCACAAGGCCCTGAGTTCAAACCCCAGTACTACAAAAAAAGAAAAAAAGAAGAACAGGAAGGAAAGTTTTAATTCATGAGTCTCAGACTTTTAGATCTTTCTTTCCATTAATTTTTATTA